ATAATAATAATAATAATAATAATAATAAAACGTTAAATAGAATGAAATTGCATTTAATTATTTTACTAATACCCGCAATAAAATTTTATATGGATTCAGATTTGAATTAACCGCTTATTTTGTCAGACGTCCAATGGAAATGGAGTGACTCTGATACTATACCGTAGTAGTAGTAGTATATTATCCTCAGAGCATTGAATTGTACCAACTTAGAAATCTAGAGCAGAGTAACTATCCGCAGAGGATCTCAGATGCCAAATGGAAATGGACTAACTCTGATACTAAACATGTGTACTATCAGCATCGAACTAAACTTTACCAACTTCGAAATAAAAAATTCGACCGAAATTAGTAAAATCTCTCGTAGAATCGAAAAACGGGGGACCGAAAATTTTATAAATTCAGATAACAATAAATAATGAAAAAAACAATAAAAATTTTGGTGTTTTATAAAAAGGACTAATAATTAAACTATTTAAAGTGAGTATAAAGTGTTGTTATGAACGTAGTAATAAAATAAATCGAGTTAAAAATATGGTGAGGTTATGTTGACATCTGACTCGGGAATAGAGGCACAGTAGCCTCACGCTTACACGTTCACATATGTTGTTGAACGTGTACTTGGCTTGAGGCACTATTGTGCCTTCGGATTATACACAGAAAAAAAAAATTAACTTGAATCAAGAAAATAATTTTGAAAAACTTAATCGTCTTAATTAAGGAAGTAAAATTCTTAAACTAAAAAATTTATTTGAGTAAATTTTCATTGATTCAAGAATTTTTCTCTCAATTCAAGTTAATTTTGTTTTCAGTGTAGATTTCATAAAATAAATTAAGGTATGATTACAGGGTGAAAATGTATTTAAAACAAAAACGCTGAAATGCAGACATTAGATATGATTTTATGTTTAAATTTCCACTTAACATAGAAATTGTATTTTTGAGAATTTTCGGTTATGCACCACAAAAATATAGACAGCTCCATCAGAAATTTCTAATTTTTTAATTTAAGAAACTTTACTCGTTTGTATTTTTATAAAAATTGCTTCTAGTTACGATAATTACTGAAGAAATCAAGAACAAAAATCGTCAAAATTAAAAAATTTCTTATCCCAAGATGAATAATGACGAAGGTATCAAATTTTTTGTACATTCCTAAACACGCTTTATGTAGTTTTAGCAAATTAAAATTCAATGAGTTACAACTATTAATAGCGCATTTAGAGATGTACGTTTTTATTTTAATACTGAAAGCACTCAAAAAAATTTTTTAAATTATGAAAGTTGAAAGTTTTATAAAGATTATTATTTCTATTTGTACATGGAAATTATTTGGTGCATGATAATGCATTGTTTATCCCAAAATTTTTCAAAAATAGCCAAAAATAACGTTTTGTATAAAAATTTTTAACTTCACCAAATGAGAGTACTTTATCCTGGTTAAAAATATGAATTGAAAAGAATTGAGTCCACATAAATGTATATCTAAATGTACATTTCGTAAATATACAGTTTTCATTGAGTACACTTTTTCCATTTCTTTTCAATCAATTTTTTTGACCAGGGTGGATACACTGTCAACTTATTTTGAATACTCCGTGGAAACACCCAAGTGTCTACAGTACAGTAGGGATTCGCAAAAAAACCGACTATTTTTTTTTTAGTCTCGACTAAAAAAATTTTAGTTTTTGATGTCTTAAAAGCCCTCTCAAAAGAACAGCTCAAAAAAAAAATTTTTAATTGGTTGCTCCAAATTTTTTTTAATTTCAAAAATCGAAATTTTTTTTATTAATTTTTTTTTCGTTACTTCATAATTTTAGACCAAAAAAAAATAAGTTCCTGAAAGTTTTAATTCAATATTTAAATTTTGAAAGGTCGCTCATAATTTTTTTTTTTAATTTCAGAGTCAAAAAATCCTAATCCAATTAAGTAGTC